ATACTTCTGCGACTTCAAATCCGGACAGAATTAAATTTGTTACTGAGAATATAATACAAATTGGGCCTATATTTTACTCCAGAACTGTCAAGTTGAAGAGTTCAATTTATGTTAACCCTAATTATATACCAAACCAGAGAGATAACTCTATTGAGGACCAGGGAAGCAACATAAATATTAACCAAGAATCTGAATCACAACTTTATACAAATATTGTTAAACGCAAAACTAAAAGCGATACAAGCCTCGAGGAAGGCAGCGATACAAGTGAGGAGGAAGAATATGGTAAATACAACAACTCCTTCTTTAAAGAGTTTAGAAGTTATTTAAAAAGATTTACTTTTGGTTTATATCTTAATATATAATTTTTATATTTTCAGAATTAAGTGGATCTGGTGAATCTAGTGCAGACGAAAGTATTGAAAACTCTCAAATTGACAATACTAAGGAAAAGGAAAATGTATGCCGTCTGAAATCACAGTGTATTACTCATCGTCAGCTAACCCAGCGCCATAAATCATATTCGGTACTTAATAAGTCGATCTAATCGACAACATTTTTCACACGTACTTCATTATTTGTATAACTAAGAAATTAATTCTTATTTTAAAAAAGTACATTTATGTAAAAGTAATTTAGATATAGTTTTAGATATAACCACCTTTAAAAGTAACACAACTATTCTATAGTATTCGCAACTGTTATATTTATGTTACTAATTTGTTGCAACTAACATTTCTGACTAAAATTAACAAATAATTGTAATTTCTGAAATATCCACCAGTTAAACTACTATTACTTTTATTATAACATTTTGTAAAAAAAACTAAATACGACTAAATATCGTCGTGTCTATAGTAGTAATCAGTAGTCAGTAGTATTAGTTGTAAGAATTAGTTGTTAGAAAGTACTAGTCAGTAATACTAGTTGTTAGAATACTATTGTTTCTATTATTATATTTTGAAACAAAAAACTAAATACGATTAAATATAGTCGTATCTATAGTAGTACTAGTCATCTATAATAGATATATTATCTTAACAAATTACTAACATGTTATGAAACTTATATCTGACTATAAGTAAAAAATAATTGTAAATTCTTATATATCCACCAGTTGTTAGAATACTATTATTTTTATAACATTTAGTAAAAAAACTAAATACGACTATATATTGTCTATATATAGTCGTATCTATAGTAGTAGTCAGTAGTCAGTAGTATTAGTTGTAAGAATTAGTTGTTAGAAAGTACCAGTCAGTAATACTAGTTGTTAGAATACTATTGTTTCTATTATTATATTTTGAAACAAAAAAATTAATACGCTTAAATATAGTCGTATCTATAGTAGTACTAGTCATCTATAATAGATATATTATCTTAACAAATTACCAACATGTTATGAAACTTATATCTGACTATAAGTAAAAAATAATTGTAACTTCTTATATATCCACCAGTTGATAGAATATTAATATTTTTGTAACATTTTGTTTAAAAATTAAATGCGGCTAAATACAGTCCTATCTATAGTAGTACTAGTCAGCTATAATAGATATATTATCTTAACAAATTACTAACATGTGAAACTTATATCTGACTATAAGTAAAAAATAATTGTAACTTCTTATATATCCACCAGTTGTTGGAATACTATTATTTTTAAAAAATTTTGTAAAAAAACTAAACACGACTATATATAGTCGTATCTATAGTAGTAGTCAGTAGTCAGTAGTATTAGTTGTTAGAATTAGTTGTTAGAAAGTACTTGTCAGTAATACTAGTTGTTAGAATACTATTGTTTCTATTATTATATTTTGAAACAAAAAACTAAATACGATTAAATATAGTCGTATCTATAGTAGTACTAGTCAGCTATAATAGATATATTATCTTAACAAATTACTAACATGTTGTGAAACTTATATCTGACTATAAGTAAAGAATAATTGTGAATTCTTATATATCCACCAGTTGTTAGAATACTATTATTTTTATAGCATTTAGTAAAAAAACTAAATACCACTATATATAGTCGATCTATAGTAGTAGTCAGTAGTCAATAGTATTAGTTGTAAGAATTAGTTGTTAGAAAGTACCAGTCAGTAATACTAATTGTTAGAATACTATTGTTTCTATTATTATATTTTGAAACAAAAAACTAAATACGATTAAATATAGTCCTATCTATAGTAGTACTAGTCAGCTATAATAGATATATTATCTTAACAAATTACTAACATGTTGTGAAACTTATATCTGACTATAAGTAAAAAATAATTGTAACTTCTTATATATCCACCAGTTGTTAGAATACTATAATTTTTATAAAATTTTGTAAAAAAACTAAATACGACTATATATAGTCGTATTTATAGTAGTAGTCAGTAGTCAGTAGTATTAGTTGTAAGAATTAGTTGTTAGAAAGTACCAGTTAGTAATACTAATTGTTAGAATACTATTGTTTCTATTATTACATTTTGAAACAAAGAACTAAATACGATTTAATATAGTCCTATCTATAGTAGTACTAGTCAGCTATAACAGATATATTATCTTAACAAATTACTAACATGTTGTGAAACTTATATCTGACTATAAGTAAAAAATAATTGTAAATTCTTATATATCCACCAGTTGATAGAATATTAATATTTTTGTAACATTTTGTTTAAAAATTAAATGCGGCTAAATACAGTCGAATCTATAGTAGTGTTAGTCACTACTTCTTAATTGCATTAGTTATATTTGACTTCCATGTAAAGTATCTTCTAAATTAATGTTAAAAGAAATCAAACCAGAATATGTAAACTATGTAAACTTGAAAATGGATACACAATATAATAAATAAAAATTATAATAAATGTTAATATTATTTTAATAGTCTTTAGATAAATATTCTTAATAAATCCTTATCTTTATCCTGTTCCTTATCCTCATAATCTCTTTAAAAAATAACTTGTTAAATCATTAAAGCCTATGTGTTCCAGTGATTGGTAGAATATAAAATAATCTGCATTTGGTAGTAGTGCAATTTTGATTTTGAGTTAAGTATTTTATAAATAAAAAATATTAAATAATAATGTTTATTTGTATATTAAAAATATAATTTGATAAGGAATGCTTTAATCTCTCAAGCGATTGCTTCGAAAGGCTGACTACTTACATGAATATTATATAAAATATATTATGCAAACATAAAAATATTTGCTAAATTCAATTAGACATAAGTAAGTAAGTTGACAAAGTTATTGTTGACAAAGATTAGTTTTTCTTAATTACGTTCGATTCTTCAATTTATCTGTTATCTTGATCTGCGCTTTTAACAGTCTAACCAATTTTATTTCATCAATTTTTTCTAAATCAAGTACAGATTTGCCTAAAGATACTATCTCAATCCTCAAGCAAGGCTTTGAGAAATTGCTATTAGTGGTTATTTCAATCACAAATAATTACTTTCCAAGCATTATTAACTAAATCCTATTAAATTTCATATACTGTTCGTTTAATAAAATTGATCTGACTTTGCAATTCTATTTTAAATATCTCGATCTTGACACTCTTCAAATAAAAAAAATCGAACTAAGTATTTTATTATTGTTAAACTGATAGATACGATTATTTCTCGGTGTGGTTAAAATATTTACTTAATGCTACTTTCTACTACTTAGTAAATATCTGAACTTAGTTCGTAGATGTAGATGACAATGTTATTTATGTACATATATTCTATATACAATTAATACCTATATTTACGATATCATTAAATATATATCAACATAAAATCTTTATTTCAGAATGGTAAAGCAGATAACGATCACTTTAAAGCAATTAAAGTCTTTCAACTGTTCGGAGAATGGACTACAGGATTTTACTTTGCAGATTTGTATTAACTTTATGAAATCACTGATTTTTAGGCATGAATTTTAGAAAAATTATGCTCACTAGGAAATGTGCTCACTGTAATTGGTTAAACTCTGCCATAATTGAATTCAAGATTGGAATAATCAATATTAAAGTCAAATATGTATGCTTACTATTATAGTTAAATACCAATTCGACAAAATGATCACCTTTTTCAATCTTGATACCGGCTGGAAGTTTTGCAAATACTCTATATGCGAAACCTAGCAGATCCAGTCGTCAAATGGATGAAATATGTTGATTTTATATACTGTGACTAAAACGGGTTCATATTTGTAAATATCCATGTATAAGATTTGCAGATGACATCAAAACCGGTTTTGATAGCCTTCTAGTAACTCCAAAATTATTAATTAGTGAAGGAGAAAGTCCTTCACTCCTTTATAATAATCCTTTACAGTAATTTATTTTTTACATAATTCAAAATAATGAATAATATGGTTCAATATCAATTATGAAATCCAAACCAAACTAACAGATCGCACACTTATCTTGTCTCTTTGTGCTGGAATATCTAAAACCACAGCAATAAACTTTCAATACAATTTCTTGAAAAAAACAGTTAACAACGAGATATCGTCCATATATCAGCGTATGAAGAATCGCGGTCTAGAATAATCGTTTTGAAAATTAATCTCTACTCTAGCGAAAGCCATCGCAAAATCAAGCATTTATTTAAGACTAATAAAAGAAAAGAAAACCACATAAGGATTTTATATTTATTAGGTTATACATAAACTAGTCCACAAAAAATATGTGGAGGATTTTCTCAAGCGGTGACATAATTATATAGCACTCAAGGCGGTCAACTTCGAAGACTACAAAATATCTTTTGATTGAATGATGATTTATTTGCTTTTTTTCTTATAATTCTAATTACTTTCTATTCGAAGTACGTATTTAGTTAATTTTGTTTGTAATTTTTAATAATATAAAGTGGAAATGGTTTTCGTTTCGCATTGATAATGATGTATCACTTAAACGTCAATTGTTTCTAATTGTGGAAATATTAATCACATCATATAAAGAAGAATTAATCATATCATATCATATAAGAATTAACCATATAAAGAATTTATTCTAGTTTCATTGCATTTTTTTTTCACATTTTTTATAATAATTTTTACAACAGTTTTTCATATCTCCAGATTCGTGTTGTGAGTCTCGTTTTCCGCAATCGTAGTATCTCTTCAGAAGTTTTTCTTTCAACCATAGTAGGCATATGGTGATGAATAATAACCGGAATAAGAATATGGAGTACCATAATAAAACTGTGGAGAAGGTACTGGTGCTGGCATTGGAACAGGGTTAGGGTTTGGACTACCAATGGGTGCAGGAACAGCCATGGCAGCAGCAAACAAAGCAGCAAAAAGGACAACCAACTAAAATAAAGAAGGAAATGTATTTTATTAAATAATTTAAGTTATATACTCTTAGTACCTGATAGAAATAAAATAGAAATAAAAGATAAATAAAACAAAATTAAGTTCACTTACATATTTGAACATTTTTAGTTTTGAGTTGTTTTTTTATTTTTTGGCTTAAAGGTACTCAGATACTTTTTGAGTTGAACTGACTGATTTGATGTCAAAATATTGAATACGTCTGAAAGCAAAATCCACTGATATTTATGTCCACTAAAATCCAACCGTTAAAAATACTAATTATCATATTAGAAGTATTTCTGAAATGGATTTATCGATTCGATCTGATGATGTCTTAATTATTCTGCTCGTGCGGGTTTTTTTGATTTTCGACAAGTCTTGCATTCCTAATTATTTCTGGAAAGATACTCTTACAAAACAAGAAGTTAAAATATCTGTAAATACAGTGAATTTTTTTTCAATTCTAAACTCACAAACAATAATAAATATTCGAATTTTATACTGCTTACAAAATAGTTCAACATGGAATCTTATTTTGTTTGGCATGCATGTCATATATCTAATGATTTCACTTTCAACTATAAAGTAAAATAAATTCTGATAAACTAATAAACCGTTTTTCGATTTAATTGCATTTGAATTATATATTATTTTAGAATTTTAGAATTTGATCATCAAAAATGGAATAAGACGAAAACCAACACTCATTTCCTACTAAAACACTTTTTTTAAATAAGCTTAGCTGATGTTTTAACTTAAATCTAAGATACGCCCAACACGCAGCTAATCTCAGAGCAATATATATAATTTTAATATTATATAATAAGTAATGATTATTCTCTTTCCTTTTTTCGAAAATCTGAATTCTTCTTCAGAAGACGCTAGAATTACGGTAGGCCATGGCACTTTCCACAGTCTCTAATTCACAATGGTCAAGTATCACATATAACTCCCTTTGAAGTCTTGAAGTTCGAATGAAAAGTGAAAAGTGAATAACAATAAGGTAACAACATTAACGATATATGCCGTATAAATTCATCTGGATTTTATCCAGTATTTATCCGTTTCCCTTTAAACAGATACTGCATACCATAGTTATTGTATTCTATCTTTTATATATTTATCTTTTATCTTTTATAAATTTGCTTCCGTCCTTCCGTTCTTCCTTAAAATCGCTACACTACTAACAATAGTAAACGAAGAAAGATGAGATTGAAGTAAAAGAATTATTTTTTGGAGTTATTTTTATGAAACTTTACTAATCTATAATTATCACGGACAGTAGCACTACATCACAACATTATGTATTATATTATATATGCATATCCAGTTTAAATCAATTTAATTTTTCGATTCAATAAAGATTCAAATTTATCTTGCATATCTTCCTTTATACGCTAAGAGGTGATGGTCTTCTAAATATTGCGATGTCATTGTATTCATGATCAGTTTGAAAAAATTTCATTTTAAGCACCTACCCAGATATTTTAAAAATACGACTATAATAGAGAGCCAATAAGCCGCTTAATAAAAGTGTATATATATATTTTTATAAATGAATCAGTACACTGTATTTACAATTATTTTATTTATCACTTTCTTGTATTAAATAATTGCTAAAATACGTGGAATATGTTTCTGAATTGTTCAGTAAGGTTAAAATACTTTTAATAATACTGCTTCAAACCCTTATATATTTAAAATCAGTTAACTTCACTTCGAAAGTGCACCAATAGAATGCAACCGGAACCAAGGCATAAGCTCTTAGGATCATATGAAGAATTATGCTTAAGAGAAGATCTCAAACCAATCCGAACCTAGAATGAATTAAGTGTAAGTAAATTATTTTAAATCTAAATATATGTACATAAAATGGATTTATAAGAAACTTACGCTTTCACATACAAAAGTAAAATAAATAATTGTGATGTCCTATGGAATCATAACAAAACAGGCTGGTTGCCTTTGTGAAAATATAAATTCAGAGGGGAAATGAAAAGTAGCTTAATAAAATTATAAATATAAAGAGCGAATTAGTAAATAACAAATAATGAAATTAAAAAAGAAAGAGATCCAAGAATTAGTACTGTTTAAAATAGAAGCATATGTAAACCACATTCCTGTATCACAGGAATGACTCACTAAAAAAACGATTGGAAAATAAAGTTTCAAAACCATTTGAGCTGAAATTTAAAAATTTTCAAACTATTTTGTTAGGAATTCATTTAAAAGTTACCTTTACGAATCAGGCGCTTATCAATCGTAGCCAAATCTCTGATATTATAATGTTTAACCTTTTGTAGAATACAACAATTCTCTTGACTTGTGACCTCGCCAGAAAGTCGGTTCTGAAAATACGAGAAAATCTCATCCTGTATTCAGAAACATATTCCACGTATTTTAGCAATTATTTAATACAAGAAAGTGATAAATAAAATAATTGTAAATACAGTGTACTGATTCATTTATAAAAATATATATATACACTTTTATTAAGCGGCTTATTGGCTCTCTATTATAGTCGTATTTTTAAAATATCTGGGTAGGTGCTTAAAATGAAATTTTTTCAAACTGATCATGAATACAATGACATCGCAATATTTAGAAGACCATCACCTCTTAGCGTATAAAGGAAGATATGCAAGATAAATTTGAATCTTTATTGAATCGAAAAATTAAATTGATTTAAACTGGATATGCATATATAATATAATACATAATGTTGTGATGTAGTGCTACTGTCCGTGATAATTATAGATTAGTAAAGTTTCATAAAAATAACTCCAAAAAATAATTCTTTTACTTCAATCTCATCTTTCTTCGTTTACTATTGTTAGTAGTGTAGCGATTTTAAGGAAGAACGGAAGGACGGAAGCAAATTTATAAAAGATAAAAGATAAATATATAAAAGATAGAATACAATAACTATGGTATGCAGTATCTGTTTAAAGGGAAACGGATAAATACTGGATAAAATCCAGATGAATTTATACGGCATATATCGTTAATGTTGTTACCTTATTGTTATTCACTTTTCACTTTTCATTCGAACTTCAAGACTTCAAAGGGAGTTATATGTGATACTTGACCATTGTGAATTAGAGACTGTGGAAAGTGCCATGGCCTACCGTAATTCTAGCGTCTTCTGAAGAAGAATTCAGATTTTCGAAAAAAGGAAAGAGAATAATCATTACTTATTATATAATATTAAAATTATATATATTGCTCTGAGATTAGCTGCGTGTTGGGCGTATCTTAGATTTAAGTTAAAACATCAGCTAAGCTTATTTAAAAAAAGTGTTTTAGTAGGAAATGAGTGTTGGTTTTCGTCTTATTCCATTTTTGATGATCAAATTCTAAAATTCTAAAATAATATATAATTCAAATGCAATTAAATCGAAAAACGGTTTATTAGTTTATCAGAATTTATTTTACTTTATAGTTGAAAGTGAAATCATTAGATATATGACATGCATGCCAAACAAAATAAGATTCCATGTTGAACTATTTTGTAAGCAGTATAAAATTCGAATATTTATTATTGTTTGTGAGTTTAGAATTGAAAAAAAATTCACTGTATTTACAGATATTTTAACTTCTTGTTTTGTAAGAGTATCTTTCCAGAAATAATTAGGAATGCAAGACTTGTCGAAAATCAAAAAAACCCGCACGAGCAGAATAATTAAGACATCATCAGATCGAATCGATAAATCCATTTCAGAAATACTTCTAATATGATAATTAGTATTTTTAACGGTTGGATTTTAGTGGACATAAATATCAGTGGATTTTGCTTTCAGACGTATTCAATATTTTGACATCAAATCAGTCAGTTCAACTCAAAAAGTATCTGAGTACCTTTAAGCCAAAAAATAAAAAAACAACTCAAAACTAAAAATGTTCAAATATGTAAGTGAACTTAATTTTGTTTTATTTATCTTTTATTTCTATTTTATTTCTATCAGGTACTAAGAGTATATAACTTAAATTATTTAATAAAATACATTTCCTTCTTTATTTTAGTTGGTTGTCCTTTTTGCTGCTTTGTTTGCTGCTGCCATGGCTGTTCCTGCACCCATTGGTAGTCCAAACCCTAACCCTGTTCCAATGCCAGCACCAGTACCTTCTCCACAGTTTTATTATGGTACTCCATATTCTTATTCCGGTTATTATTCATCACCATATGCCTACTATGGTTGAAAGAAAAACTTCTGAAGAGATACTACGATTGCGGAAAACGAGACTCACAACACGAATCTGGAGATATGAAAAACTGTTGTAAAAATTATTATAAAAAATGTGAAAAAAAAATGCAATGAAACTAGAATAAATTCTTTATATGGTTAATTCTTATATGATATGATATGATTAATTCTTCTTTATATGATGTGATTAATATTTCCACAATTAGAAACAATTGACGTTTAAGTGATACATCATTATCAATGCGAAACGAAAACCATTTCCACTTTATATTATTAAAAATTACAAACAAAATTAACTAAATACGTACTTCGAATAGAAAGTAATTAGAATTATAAGAAAAAAAGCAAATAAATCATCATTCAATCAAAAGATATTTTGTAGTCTTCGAAGTTGACCGCCTTGAGTGCTATATAATTATGTCACCGCTTGAGAAAATCCTCCACATATTTTTTGTGGACTAGTTTATGTATAACCTAATAAATATAAAATCCTTATGTGGTTTTCTTTTCTTTTATTAGTCTTAAATAAATGCTTGATTTTGCGATGGCTTTCGCTAGAGTAGAGATTAATTTTCAAAACGATTATTCTAGACCGCGATTCTTCATACGCTGATATATGGACGATATCTCGTTGTTAACTGTTTTTTTCAAGAAATTGTATTGAAAGTTTATTGCTGTGGTTTTAGATATTCCAGCACAAAGAGACAAGATAAGTGTGCGATCTGTTAGTTTGGTTTGGATTTCATAATTGATATTGAACCATATTATTCATTATTTTGAATTATGTAAAAAATAAATTACTGTAAAGGATTATTATAAAGGAGTGAAGGACTTTCTCCTTCACTAATTAATAATTTTGGAGTTACTAGAAGGCTATCAAAACCGGTTTTGATGTCATCTGCAAATCTTATACATGGATATTTACAAATATGAACCCGTTTTAGTCACAGTATATAAAATCAACATATTTCATCCATTTGACGACTGGATCTGCTAGGTTTCGCATATAGAGTAT